TAAATGACATACTCCACCTGAGACTTTATAGCTGTCCAAGCGATCGCTGTCGGTGAGATGGAAGATGAAGAAAATGTTGAATAATGTTTGAATCAAGATTATTGTGATGTTTGATACAAGAATCAATATTTTTTCCACAAGAGAATTGAAAAACTCTTGAATAAAGTATGTATTCTTGAAAGAAGAAATGAAGTCGAAAAAATTAAAATACTGATTTGAGAAGAGCAAAATGCTCTTCTCAAAATTATTTATTCAGAATCAGAAAATATATTTTCATTCAGAGTAATTCTTCTTGAAAAAATATATTTTCTTGGAACGAGAAATCTTTTTTATGTGTGTATGTAGTTCGATATTGATAGATGGAATAATTATGACACGTATAAGAATCTAAAAATTCAGTTGAGATTTTTATTACTTTCGATCTTCAGAAATGAACGATTTCATGCAGTCAGTAAATGATCAATCTGAACCGAAATACACTCTCATATTCGGTCTTCCACTGTATTCACAATGTTTCTAAAATATAATTCAATATAATTACTATTCAGGTCATTCAGGTGATGGAAATAACATCACTTTTCATTAATTTCTCGACAATATGTGGTTTGATACCTCTAAAAACCCGCATCATTCAAGATCTTGAAGAGTAGACCAAAATAATTCTAAGGAATTAACTGACTACATGGAAATATCAAAAACAACATGATTGCTGTAAGTCCGGAAAAATCAACGGCATTATAGGCATATGGTGTAGACCTAGACATGTGGGTAAGCATATCAAATTACTTATCAATGAAATTGCCAAGTTTGCGGCTGGACAATTAAACGACCAGCAGTCTAGTCGTCGATAAAGGAAGTACCTATAGCTATCAATTTTCACTAATCAGTAGTTTGCACTATAGGTCGACCTTGATGATTAGATGGCCGAAACTAACCTATAGTATTCAGTGATCTTTCCTATTACCTATCCCCTAGGATATATTATATTCGGGTAGAGAAATTTTCATCAAATATGATATTTCAACATATTTACACATATATGAATTGAACCTTTATGTGTTCAAAAATATCCAAAAATTTTCACTCAATGAACATTTTCATAATTACTGTACAAGGAAAGAGGGGCATTGTCATGATACCTATTTCTAGAAATAAAATGTCTTTGAACTCACCAGATCATATTGGTTTGAAAGTGTTCAAAAAACTACCAGATTGTTTGAAAGTCAGCCAACATTAACTGTTTTCAAAAGGGAGTTGAAGAAATATTTGTTAAAAAAAGGTTTCTACAATTTAAATGAATTCTTTTCGAATACCAGGAGTTGAAACTTGTTTATTATTATTATTATTGTGATCATTACTAAATATTTTCTGAATTATTTGAATCAAAATCACTGTTAAATCTCAGTAGGTATCAAAATGTATATTTCTTCTTCTTCTTCTATAAACTTTTGTATATATTATTTAATGATGATGACTTTGCCAATATGGGAATTAATAAATGATGATGATGATGATGATGATGAATATAGGTACTCAAATCTGAACAGATTTTCTTGGAAGCTGTCGATGTCACTACACAGGATGTTCCAGAACGAGAATGCTGAAAATTTCAATTCAGAGTACATGATATTATGAAAACTTCAATATCACTTTTTTCTTGACACCATGTGTTCTTTAGTCAACATAATACTCGAATCTATATGTTCAAGCCACTAGCATTAGTTCTCACAAAATTGTTCTTTCAACTTTTTATCAAAAACTCATTTTTTCAGTATCTACGAAACTTCTGGAAAATTGAGCAATTCGTAACTTCGACGAAACTGTTTTATACCAGTAGCTCTGATGTGCTACTATAGCTTTTGATTATGAATTATGAACAAGAATGTTTTCCTTCAGAAAAGGAGAAAACTGTTGTGTCATTGATGCAACTATGACATTTGATGTATCTTGAAGTGTTTGGGATATAAATTCATTTCAAGCGGATGAAATATCATGAAACTATACTTCACGTATCTAACCAAAGTTTAGTGATTTGAGACATAGGTATATACTCGGACATAGGTTTGAAGAAAATCTTATTTACTCAACATATTTTAAACTTTCAAGACCAAGGGATTCTAGGAAAAAACAAATAAGCCTATGTTGAGCGATTATAGGTATACCTACTTGGAACGAATTCAAGTGACAGGTAATAAAAGTCAAAGGACGCCATGCGAGTAGGCCAACACAAAATTAAAATTTTGAAATGATTTGTTCGAAGTTTTCCCCATTTTGTTACAATTTGGTCCATCTCACCCCTGTACGTTCGTATTCCTAGGGCGATTTGTTTTTTTTTCTCTCTCATAATTTGCTACTCAACAATTCCTTGGTCTACTGAGAACACAAACACTTCAGCAAAATCAAAGAAAACGGATTAGGCAATTTTTTACAAACATTTTGATAATGAAAATCGATTTGGACTAGTCACAAATACTCCTATATCAATTTTCAAAACAATATCTCATAAAGGGTGTTCCTTATCAATGTAAATTATATTTTTCAAATCATCGTGTATAATAATTCTTATAAGAATTTGAATGAAATCAGGCATGATGGTATAGTAAGAACTAGATCACCTGTCTACAAGAAATTAAAAGAAGAAAAAACTGAATAATACGAATAAAAAAAACATTGAATGGTTAGAAAAGGAACTAAAACAGTATAACCATTCCTAAATAGTTCAGATTTTTGTATTCTCGATCAAATCTCCTTCATTCTCTACTTATACACTTTTCATATCATTTCGCACGTTATTTTCAACTCTCCTCAGTTCTTCTGAAGTATCTCTCTACAAACTATTATTAATCTTCGTCGCAACTCCTCTCTATTTCTTGGCCTGAATTTCTCACTCTGTAGCCAGATGATCTAATCCTAACTACCATCATGTATGTTATTCAAATTCTTAAAAGAATTATCATACTCGGTGACTTGAAAAATGCAATTATTCAAAAATTGTAACGTTGATAAAAAACACCCCTCATGAGATATTGTTTTGAAAATTGATACAGGAGTATTCGTGACCAGTCCGAATGGATTGCCATTATCAAAATTTTTTATAAAAAAATGCCTCATCCGTTTTGTTTGATTTGGTTGGGGATTTCTGATCGCATCAGGCTTAGAAATTCTGAATGATAATTTTTTTTCTGTAAAAAAAATTGTCCTAGGAACAGGAATGTACAGGAGTGGGGTGGACCAAATTGTAAGACACTGTATGATGCCAATTTCTTGGAGTTCGCACACACTCTATATACAGTGTGTGCGGTTTCAACTCGCAGCACATTTCTAATTTGGAACCCATTTACCGACTTTTCAAAACGAAAATCCTCACAAGCTCCCTTCGAAAATGTGGAATGATTTGAAACATTCAGATTCTCAAGTCCTTCCTACATACTATTGTTTGGTGAAGGAGGTAAAATTCAAAAAACTATTAGGTTTCTTCAAAAAGTGCGTAGCTTACTCGATCCAGGCATAGCTGGAATATCTCCATAGAAAATTTCAACTCAATAACTCATATAGGATGTTAGTTATTGAATGGCAAATTTTAATATTTTTGCTTTTTCAGATCACCCTGTATCGAAATTTAATAAGTTGATATAACCGATGAGGTAGTCATTCAATGGAGAAACATATCGAATACTCATCAGATACGAAGTTCCATCGTTGTACCTTCTACAGGAAGATCTCTCTAGATCAACCAAAAATTTATGAAATTGAAGTTGAAAATGTTTTTATTGAGATCCATATATTAGGAGTAAACCATTATCATAAATTCATCTCAAATTTTCATTGCATCAGTATTTCCTTGCCAGTCTTCGGAAAGTGTTTGTCTGTCATTCTATTTGTGTTTCATTTGACAGCTCATTCGTCAGTCGAGACGATTTTCAAAGTAACAGTTTGGCCATTCTTTGGTGAAGTGAGTGAATAACGGTTTTATTTCTTGAGTTCGAAGTTTTTAAGTTCAACTTTAATTTTATTGATCTTAAGACCTAAGTAGTACCTATGTAGAACTTACAGCGATGAAACTTCGTATCTGAGTATATTCGATGTGTTCCTCCATTGAATTACTAGTTATATCAATTCCTTAGATTTAAAATAGGGTGAATTGAAAATGCAAAATATTGAAATTTGCTATCGAATAAATAAGACGCTATAAGAGGTATATAACGAGTTGAAATATTGTGTGGGTGACTGGGTGTATACATCATATGCCTGAATCGAATAGTCTATCCAGTTTTTCTGAAAAAAATATCTTATAGTGATAATAGTTTTTTTTTTTTTAATTTTGACCCCTTCAACGAACAGTCGTACCTAGTCTATGAGAATCTGAAAATTTAAGATTTGTCCACATTTTCGACTAAGACAGATCGTTGAGGAATTTTTGTTTTGGAAAATCGGTCAACGGGTTCCAAATTGGGACTTTCATATAGGAGGGAGTTGAAATCGTACATACTGTATATCAGGGAGAATAATCCTAAATAATAGAAAAGCATCAATTCAGCAGCGCAAATTTCTCAAATAGTGATTATTTTTGGAAAATCGAATCTGATAAATCTGTTTATAAGACGGCAAACTTCAACTTGCACCTGATGAGCACAAAATATACCACTAGCAATCCTGGCTAGAACCTCCACAGTTCAAATTCGCTCCGAATACCCCCAAAATCATTAAAAATATGAGACTGCTCGGATTCGTGGCACACCCTGTACATTTTCGTAACCACAGTTCTCGAAACACAAATCGACAACCTCCCATCCGAACCAACTTTTCGTGTGTAGGACACAAACAATCAAACAAACCCGCCCAGGCTGTACCCCTCGCAGGTAGCGGGGGCGGCAAGTGCTAGAGCCAATCTGCAAATCGCTCCCTATGGTGGGCTCGAAGTTGAGTAGAGGGGGGTCTGTCATTGGTCGCGCACCAGGTCTATCATCAAGTGCTGGTCTAGTGGCAGTCATAAAGAGGGTAGCGGTCCGTCTGCTCGCATTGACCAGTCGTGATTCTCTGCGCTGTGGACATGCTCGCGATAGTATCGCTGTGTCTCGTGCTCCTGGTCTGCTCCTGGCTGAGCAGGAGGACCCGCAAGGACGCTCCGAAGGGCAGCCCGCCGGGACCCAAGCCCTTGCCAGTCTTCGGCAGCCTGCATCTGCTGGGCCAGCACGACACCCCGTTCGAGGCGTTCACGGCGCTCAGCAAGACCTATGGGGATATCTTCAGCATCAGCCTCGGCACGACGCCGTGCGTCGTCGTCAACAACTTCGATCTCATCAAGGAAGTGCTCATCACGAAGGGCGGAGATTTCGGGGGTCGGCCCGATTTTCTGCGGTTCCACAAGCTCTTCGGAGGTGACAGGAATAATTGTGAGTACCCACATTTCTATTTTGTGACGAGTTTCGTGTCTAATTGCCGATTGATATCTCCGAAGCTCTTCAATATTTTCAGAGCGGAGCATCGGACGGTTTCAGCCGCAAAAGTACGGATCTTTAATATAGTGATAACGTAGGCAAAGATACGTTCACGCAGTTGTTTCTTGTTGGCGAACAGGCTGCTCAACTTTCTATCATACTCGGAGCACCTGTTTCATTCATAAGATTGCCTCACTACCGTACTCGACTACCGTGAACTTGAACTTGGGATTCTAATGAAACTGAATCTGATCAACACCAACAAAGCTATTATCATACCTACTTAATTCATTTTATTCTCAGATGAACTTCATCTATGCATATTTTAATCAATTTAATGAGACAGAGGGATTTCGTTAATCGAAAAATAAAGAAGGAACGAGAAATTAATGACAGAAACGTGTATACTCTGTTGGCAGACTGCATGGGTTGTGTAGCACAGGTGTATAAATTACTTGGTCACGCGACTCAATGACCATCTGTTCCGCGAAGCAGTCTGACATGGGTTGACGCGTGCCAAGAATGATTTATTCGACCTTGAGACTAGGCAGCGTTTTTTGATCTCTAACCTTATGTTTTCGTTTCAGCTCTGGCCCTTTGCGACTGGTCTGAATTGCAGAAGACGAGGCGTAGCATAGCCAGGACATATTGCTCTCCTAGATTCACCTCTCTTCAGTTCGATAGCGTCAACCGCGTTGGAGCTGAAGAAGTCAACACATTCTTGGCTGAGATACAAAAACTGCCAATAAACACTCCAGTCGACATCAAACCGATAGTTCTTAAAGCTTGCGCTAACATGTTCACCCAGTACATGTGTTCGACTAGCTTTTCTTACAACGACAAAGAGTTCCAAAAAATAGTAAGGTACTTCGACGAAATATTTTGGGAAATCAACCAGGGCTACGCTGTAGACTTCCTTCCTTGGCTTCTTCCATTTTATCACGGACACATGAATAAACTAACGAAGTGGTCGACAGAAATTCGCCAATTCATTCTTAGTAGAATCATCGATAACCACAGAGCCACCCTAGACTTCAACTCGCCTCCTAGAGATTTTACTGACGCCCTTTTAATGCACCTAGAAGAAGATCCGAACATGAACTGGGAACACATCATATTCGAACTTGAAGATTTTATCGGAGGTCATTCAGCAATCGGGAACTTAGTGATGGTTACACTAGCTGCTATTGTGAAGTACCCAGAAGTCGGAGACAGTATCCGGAAAGAAATAGATGCAGTTACTGGAAATATGAGAGGTCCGAATTTGTTCGACAAAGCTGCGATGCCGTATACTGAGTCCGTTCTATGGGAAACCCTGAGAAAAGCTTCCTCGCCCATAGTTCCACATGTAGCGAGTGTTGATACGGAAATCTGTGGATTCTCAATTCCTAAAGGCACTATGGTATTCATCAACAACTACGAGTTGAACGTGGGAAAAGAGTACTGGAACAAACCTGACGAATTCCTGCCAGAAAGATTCCTGTCTCCTGCTGGGAATGTAGTGAAACCTACGCACTTCATCCCGTTCAGCACAGGAAAGAGAACCTGCATCGGACAGAGGTTGGTCCAATGCTTCAGCTTCGTGATTTTGGCGACCCTTCTCCAGAAATTCGACGTGAGTGGTGGTGATGACGTCGCAGCGAGGCCAGGATGTGTGGCGGTACCTCCTGACTGTTTCAAACTGATCCTGACACCTCGAAACCCTCCTGTAATCAGCTCGGACTGAGGTATGAGAGTATTTCGTTCGCTTCCGTCCAGCGGTCATCAAATACCGAGCAACTGGCTTGAGAGACCGCTTCGCTGAGTATATAGATTCAGCGACACCCTGTGAATATACCTCCGATGCCTCTGGCTTTCAGGAACTGAACCCAAGGTGGCCTTCCTGCTGCGGCTGACTACGAAGACGAGGCCGACAGGCTCCGTGCCAAACATCACCTGCGTTATCATTTTTTTATTCCATTATTGTATCGTGCATTGTATATATTTCATGTGAATTTATTGTAAAAATGTTTTAATAAGTTATCTTTAATGTAGTCTCTCCAGTGGTAGGTCTAATGTAATGAGACTGAATAAATTGTGTGTATTTTTATTTTATATACGTGTTTAATTATCATTCATATTGTCACAACTCGAACATTTTGTTTTGGCCAATACTCTTTTTGGAAAGCATAGTAATGTCCAGACAAGGTAAAATCAAGGCAAGTCAAGGTTGAAAGTTTAAATATAATGAAGACATTCATAACCTTAAAGAAAACAAATTTTGAAAATTCTGTTATAGCAATAGTAAAATAAAAACCAACATATTTTCAGTAAACCTACAATCTGGATTTCATTTATCAATTTTCAGAATAATCATCTATCAAAATTACGTCATATTATTTATCCAACTATTAATCAATCTAATTTGAAAAAAAGTTCTGTGAATCTATAATGAATTTCTTTTTGATTGAACAAAAAATGAATCAAAACTGCGAGTCATACTATCAATCAATTCAACTGAGAAAAAAGTTTTGTCAAGCTAAAAGATTCCATTTTGATTATACAGGGTCTTCAACAATGATTGAGAGCCATGTGACATATATAACTGTGCAACCAAGTATATAAAAAGCAGTTTTTTATCTTTTTTCACCTACCCCATAATCAGTTTCAGTAAAGGTATACCCCCTTGATAAAGTAACTTGTAGAGTTGGTCAAGTAAACGAAATTTGTCCAAGGAGATAATAATCTGGCGAAATAAGGCAACTATGACTCATTATTGAATTACATTTTTTATTGGAATAAAACTAGTGTGTAAAAATAAAGAATTCTGATCATGACAATTTAGATTTTTATCTATGAATTTTCAGGTACTTCCTATACAATTTCCATCCAAGCAAATTTTTTGGGACACCTCATATATTATGTTTATAGGTACAGTATGTTTGTATTTAATCAGGAAGCAATAGAAATCATTTTTCTTCATTTTGCTTGATCATTTGGGATTTTCTATCATCGTTTCTATAAATTGAAAATATGAGTATTATTTCAATTTACGCCTAAAAAATTGTTCTAAAATTGTTTTTTTGTGTTTTCTATCATCGAACCTAAAAGAAAAATCCAATCGTTGGTCAGTGATACTTAGTTTTGTAAAATGTTTGAAATGAAGAAATATATAGATTTATCAAAAAATATAGAATTTTTGCTCATCTTTGGACGTATCGGGAACGAATCTGCTCCCGTTTTCAACGAGCGTGCGCTCCAAGCGATAAAAAAAACATGAAAAATGTAAAATATTATTCTTTGAAAATTGTTTTATAGTGTGACAATGATAGAGAAATGTTTTAAACGCAGTGACATTTTGGGACAAATCATCTGATTTGTCCTAAACTACGAGTATATTGAAATAAAACTCTTATTTTCATTGTATAGAAACGAAACGAGGAGAGAAAATCACAAATAATCAAGCGAATGAATGTATGTACCACCTCCTCGATTAACTTATAGACGTGTTTCTATTATGTATTGGTACTGGGTAATGATAAAACTTTTACTAGGAAATAATGAAACAATTGCTATCATGAATCCTTTCTCAAATGCTCAGAATTCAATTTCCATTGAAATCTCACTCATCTAAGAACATTTACTTTTTTTCCAAATTTTAACATCGGCAGACTATACACTATACAGGGTGCCTCAGTTTCAATCAGTAGGAGTGAATAGTTATCAAATTTGTTAAATTATGCACAAATATGTAAGAGCATTCAATTTTGCATAAGAATAATCCTCAGATTATTAATGATGAAACTCGAAAGAATGAACTGGAAAACGTGTTAAGACTTCAAATTTTGATGTAGGCGCCGGGTAGACCATTATGAGAATGTGTAAGCTCAATAGTTAGGTGTGATTTTGTGATTCAAATTATTATGTCAATGACATACCAGACTTCATTTTGCTTCAACGAAATGTCGTACTTACATAATAATAATACAAATCTCTAGATGCAAATTTTCATCTCTGACACGTGGTATCTCTACACCCAGTTAAACTTTGTTAATCATCATTAGTCAGGGTTGTACCAGATTTGATACTTTTCGAACTTGAGAAATTCGTATAACTTTCTGATGTGTATCATTTTTCAGTATTCACATGACTATTCATTATACAGAGTGTCCCAGATATCTGTACAAAGTGAGCTTACATGTAATTTTTCGTGGACCTGTACAAAAAAATCACATTTTACATACTAATTTCCGAATGAAAAATCAACCATTTTTGAAGGCCAGTGCTTTTCGTCCGCTGTGGTCACTTTGATATACGGCACGGTGCGAGAGCGGCGATTTAGTTGGCAACAACTGTCATTTGCTCGTTTTTTTCATAAAATGTATAGTTTTTTTCAAACTGCAGTGAAAGTGCGAGGAAAATTTGAAATATTTCATTTTTGATGTTTGTTTGTGACCCATGAAAATTCCCTGGCACAGTTTACAAAAATGATATACAAGATGAACTTTTTGCTGTAAACTGAACGATCAAAATGTTAACAAGACCGGTTCGGATAATATGCATCAGTTTGCAGGCTCGATTATAATATACAATCAAAGATTACTGAAATCTTCTGTAGTCTATGATACAGTGTTTCGTCCTTGGTACATAAATAACTATTAATATACAACAGGCCGTTGAAGTCGACGTTTTCAAGAGATATTTTTGGATAATTATATATGCTCGATAGATGTCACTGTGACATTCCTTTCGGTACACTAAGAGGATCAGTATATGCATAAAATACTTCTTATACTATTTCGATCGACATAGAGGGTGGTGAACATATACTGAGGGAAAGAATTAGTCCTGCCATGGGGGTGTTTTGTTTTTGCATTTTACCTACGTAACGCACGTTTGAATATCCATGAAATCGAACGTATTTCTAACATCATATATTATCTCCGTTAAAACATTATTTCAGTCGAGATGACCCATTTTCAATGCTTATAAATATATGCTTATATTTTCCTCAGTATATAGTTTTGAGTGTTATCATTATGGAAGATTGAAAAATCGTGGATTTTTATTTTTTAGTTCACCACTGACCAGATTCCAATATTTTTCAAAATTTTCTCATCCTCCAATTTACTGTCGACACTGAGATATTTCACAAAATCAATTTGTGACAAGTCATTTCATTTTGAATATTAAATTATTGCAGGTTCTCATTTATTCCTATCTAGAAATTATTTATTCCGATTATGCTCATTTTGGTAAAATGTTCCCCCGGATCTTGTAATATACAGTCACAGAATTACTATTACAAAATCGAATTCAACGACCTGTAAAGGCTGAAAGAGGAGCTCAGTTAAAGTAGTAATATTTGGTTGAATCGTCTTATTTTCTTCTCAATAATTCGTGATTTCATTTTGTACAGACATTTCATGGACAGTATTTTGACACTTGCCTACAGCCGTTTTGAAGTGGTATAAAACTTGAAGAAAAAAAATACTTTCATTTTTTTAAAGGAATACGGCCCTGTCTGTTATTAGCTGAAATGCATCCTCATTTCAAAAATAACCGGGTGTAGACGAATCTGTTAGACCAGCCATAACTTCTACAATATCGCATTATCAAAATGAAATTCAATGTGGGTACATATATGTGAAAAGGAAAGTTTTCGCATATTTTTTACTTCCGGGTCACATCCGGTTCCACCGGAAATGCGTCCGGTTTTGAACATTTTTGAATTTCTGAGACAATGCTGGATCAGAATATGACATTTCCAGAACTTTCTACGCCAACCCAATTCTTTTTGTCACTTTCAATATTGCATCTAGATGGCCATGATCGGACATAAACGTCTGAGGACCTCAGGTGATGCCATCAGAAAATTTTAATCGCATAAAAGGTTTAAGTGACTAGTATGATACATAGAAAGAAGACAAGATGACAAAAATTAACTTCCGTGTCTTATTTTTCAAATGATAACAATTCTTTGAAAAGCACTTTCCGAAAAAAGAATTTTTTTGTCATTCGTGACGTAGTTAAAATAGTACCTACGGGCCTTTCTATCGGACATTAATCATTGAATAATGTCTGTTGGTTAATCAAGGAGGTGGTATATTCATCATTCCAGATTTTTTGGGATTCTCTCTTCTCGTTCCTATAAAATAAAAATATGAGTATCATTTCAATATACCTACGTGTAGTGAGGACAAACTAGATTGTTTGCCCCAAAATGTCACTGCATTTAAAAAAAGTTTTTATCAGCGAGCCAAAAAGAAAAATTCAGTCGTTTGTCAATGACAGATTATATTGAAAAAAGGTTCGGAGAAGAGGAATATAGGTACCTATATAAAAAAAATATCAGATTTTCACTTAATAGCTTCGGACGTTTCGGGAACGAATCTGCTCCCGTTTTCAACATAAAAATGGAAAATATTTTTCTCGCAAATTTGCCAGTGAAAACATCCTGTATTTCATTAATTTTCACCATTTTCATTCTGTAATTAATTTGTTTGCCAACGTCACCAGTTGTCACTAAAAACTAATGCCTGACACATTTGCGAGAATAGTAATTTTCCTAACAAGTGCGGAAAGTGATTCTTTCCCGCACGCGCCTTCCGTTGACACGAATGACTTCGTTGGCAATATAACGCATCTGTATCGCATCCCTATATAGCTGGAAGTTTTTGATCACATTGTGGCAATTTCACTGAATCGAAAATGACAGTAACGCTGTGTCTGTCACTTCTACAATTTCAAACTTATTTGAGGTCTGATTGGCATGACATCAGAACAATCCGAATCTATAGGAGGATTTTTATAATAATCAATTTTTATTTTTCAATATTTCTCAATTTTCACAATAATTAGTGCAATTTGATGAATGATTCTGAACATACATACTTAATACTACAACAAACAAACTAAAACTTTTATATTCCATCACTAACCACTTATATTTTGCGATATTATCGTATGTTTGTTTTTCCCGCACTAGTGTGGGAAAATGACACTTCCCAAACTAAATTGCGTGCGGGAATAGGGTGAATCACGCACGCTTGTAGAAAAAAATATTTTCCATTTTTATGTTGAAAACGGGAGCAGATTGGTTCCCGAAACGTCCA